AAAAAGACGAATTCTTTGAAATGAGATATAGGATGAAACTCCCATGAAACCGGAAGATAAATTGAAACCGCTTGCACTACTGAGACCGCTTTAGAAATAATTGAAAACGTTATAATAGCTGTAGTTGTTAATTGTATTGGGGAACGGAAGCTATTTTTAATATCCGTTAAAATATGACTTTTACCTAACTTTTCAAATGAACGTAACTTTTATTTCTTATCCGAGGATACCATAGGTGAATAAATTTTATCTTCTATCCAAGTATAGTAGGATACTGTGAGATCGAAAATTTATCGTTACATTGAAAAAGATGTTAATAAGTTGAAAATTCAACAAGAAACTTATTTTTCTGTCGGCATATGTAAACCTTTACACCGTGAATTTTTTCCCAACAATTAGATAGTATGAAGGTATTTCTTACAACGTTACAATATTAATAACAATTTATTATTTATTAACAATACTAATAATATTATCGAATATTAAAAATAATACAATCTTATAGTACTTTCTTACAATATTCTTACAATTCTTTCACCTTCAAACGGAACAAAGGTGTTCTGCAACGTGAGTTAAGTGACCCCTGAACAATGCATTTCATGCATTTACGAAACGTAAGAATGTGGAAAGCACGGTAAAAATAAATTCAAACAACGCTCCGAATAGAAGGAGAAATTTCCCCGTTTCATTGCCACATTTGTAAATACGTCTATAAAAATGTAAATTTGTTATAAACATCTACTTCGTTGATCAATACAGTATAGCATATTAATAAATTTAATAAACTTTAATAAACTTTATCTTTCATCTCAATCCTACTAGCACAGTTAATATAGTAAAAATATTTTTCTTTGTTTTCTATCTCCATATACAGTTGATTAATACCAATTTCAATATGAGATCTGTAATATAAACCCATTCGTTCATTACAGCCGTACACTTATTAGTTAACAGTTCTAATGAAAAGATAGAAATTATTGCAGTCAGAGTAAATTCTGTTTCCAATAAGAATCGACACAGATTATTCCCACCAGTCCACATTAGAGAATCTCTGCTGACTACGGTTTTCACACTTGACAGAACACATTCGAAAAGATCCCCCAAGTAACCTCAAAAAGAAAAGAACTTTGGACTCTTCCAAATCTTTCCTCCCAATCTCTTCCCCACCGAACAATGGTTCATTGGCCATATTTCAATTACAAAGTCAGCTAAGAAGTCCTCATCAAATAAGCAAATAATAAAATATTTACTTGTTATTCAGATCCTTGATACATATTTAAGAAATTTTTATTTTTTGTGAACTTCAAAAATGTTCATTTACTTACTATTGTTTATTCACTGGTGAAATCTGTATTTTTCCTATTTAATTTAATTAATTACATTTTTCCAATTATTCAAATTGAAATCTATACACTCTGAGAAGGTACAGATGTTAAAAAGTATCATTTTCTAGTTGCCGAATATTTATTAATATTATTATCACTTAAAATTCGACTTTAATGGTTACGTAATCACTCAAGCGTTCATTCATTGGTGCGTTCACCCTACAAGCAGTTTGAAACAGAGTTATTTTCGGAACCGTTCCAACCCCCGAGTCCGCGGACTCATTATCATATAAATTGCGAGAAACGACTTCGTTCGAATCCGTAGATATTATTCTACAAAAAAAAAAAAAAACGTACACAAGATATTACGGTTCCTCTGGACTTCTTCCATTTCATTAACGTCGGATGGAGTAATTAAGTAATTCTGTTCGCACGGCTGGAATACAGCGCAGCAACAGAGAGATTCGAGAATAATTCGATTAATTTGTACCGCTCAAAGAAACTCGAAATTAATAGGGAACAGAGATAACATCCTACTATTCCATCGTTTCGAAACTCTGCAGTTAGCGCGCGCGCGACCCACGTCGCCGATCAAGTAATTATTCAAAAATAAAAGAAAGAAAGAAAGAGACTGTGGGGCAATAATTGAAGTATACGGCTTCATCAAACGTCAATACAGGATTCCTTTCAACGGCGAAGATATTTTAATTAAAAGAAAAATATGTAAAAGGATAAGGGTTGCAAGACTTGCAAATTACATCTCTGGCTACGTTCAGAGACATCTATTGATTGTCGAAGTGGAAACGTGGGAACACCACGACTATCAATTTTTAATTAAGAATGTTTACACTACCTGGTTTCGTGAACTCATCGATAGGCTGAGGAGGCTGATTCGTGACTGGCATCTCCTAGCGTTCAAAACACGGTAAAATAAAGATTTTAATACTGTTGTAGAAGTGTAGAATATTTATATTATCGGGAGCTTATAGTACGAGGCAGAAATTTCTGTTATGCATTCGATTACATACCGGAAACGTCAATCACTCGAAACATCGATTTATCGGAAACGTCGATCACTTGATACATCAATTATCAGAACACAGAACGAGTCACGAATATTTTATGATAGAATCGGAAAAATTGAAAGAATACATGTACCATTCTTAACACACTGGCAATCGACGAAACTTTGCTGAAATTTCCTGTACTCATTTGTCCACCGAACTCAAACATCGAACTGTAAATAATCTCTGTGACAGAACGAATAATATTGGAATGTAACAGAAATGTCGTTATCTAGGTTATACGCTACCCATTACTCTTCAGAGAGCTGCTTAGAATAAATTATACAACACTTTAGTTGAGAATACAATATATGTAACAAATTTAAAAAGTACAATTGTGACATGTACGAAAATATGAAAATAATTAAGTATATATTATTGTAAACGAGTATTTAAAAATGTGAATTAGTATAACTTATTACAACGTGGCGACGTAATTTTGCAATATCTTCGATACTCGAATGACATTATATAAAGTGTTCTATAAGTACGTTAATTTACTTTAAGATGAATCCTTAATGGAATATATGAATATCACTATTTATCGGAAGTTATAATACTTCAATATTAAGCGTACGAAATTTCAGCACAGTTCAATCTAAGAATCGTTTTAAACGAGTAAGCACAAGTTTGGTATCGATGTGCCATCTGGTGGCAGTAATAGTCAAAAAGATACGTATGTACCAACAACTGGTCTGATCAAAGTTTATTCAAAATTGCAGTAGACAGACCAAAAAATAGTTGGCGCCGAATATTAACGTTTCTTAACAATTTATATCTGAAGAAATTGCTCCCAATTTGCTCCCTCGGAATCTAAAATTGCTCCCATCGCACTGTTTATATTTAATGAGATATTCGTAAATGAAAAAGCAAAAATTTGTTGTTTGCAAAATAGATAGTAAATGGTCTTTTTACACAAATATTTCGGTACCAAAAAATTGCTCCTGATCTGTTTTATAATAATCAATAGTCAGATATCTCAATACCAACTTATTAACGAGAAACAATTGAAATAATGTTGTTGCATACAGGTTAGGTATTGCGTCACACGGTAGACGCTCGTTTATTATACTCTTCGAGGCTGTTGAAGGCCAGAATTCCAAGAATATTATAATATCTCATTAAATATAATAGTTGCGATGGGAGCAACTTTAAATTCCGAGGGAGTAAATTGGGAGCAACTTTTTAAGATAAAAATTGTTCTGAAATACTAATATTCCGCGCCAACTATTCTTCGGTAGTAGATATTCGTCTAATGTAATATTTGGGGTTGTAGAGGGCCAAATTAGAGTGGCCAAAAGAGGCACGAAACAAGAGTGAGTGTGCTATCGTACATTAAATTAACCTTCATTTATCGAATGCCTACTCTACACATCTGAATTGCAAGTATATTTTTGGAAACATTTTCGTTTGATCTTAACACAGATCACAAAATCACAATCGCGCTTACGGTCAGAAACAATAAAATAACAATATCTATACTGAAGTGTTACTTACTTGTTGATATATTACAAAATTGTTGATGTTACCAATTTCCCGCCAAACTGCGACTGAAGGGGGAGTCCACTGTCATGGCGTTGGTAGTGCATCCTTTTCAGTCGGAATTCTGAAACGGAAAATAAATGTTAATTCGCTGTAATTCTATTAAATTAACAATCACTGTGTCACAAATAAACAATTATTGTACTCGAAGATTGGTTCACGTCCTTTCGCGGTATCGACTTAATTTAAAATTAATAAATTTAAATTAAATGAATATTAAAGGAGAATAACGATAGAAAGCGAACGATACGACTAATAGTTAGTATAAATACAAATAAAAGGTAAAGATTACGTACTTCGACTTGAACAAGTTTCCTTCACCTCCTATCACTTAGGCGTTCACAAGACGAATGACCCTTCGGTTATTCGACTGTTTAATTTTGCAGAAGTCCCTTCGTTTTAAACAATTTCAAAGCCATATGTTTTTTGTATATTTTCCCAAACTGACATGCCCACTTACTCTATGAGTCAGAAATGAATTGAACTACCTACATACCCCGACTCATTTTCGAAAATTTGTTACTCTAATTCATTTTAGGTGGAAAACATCTACGATGTCTCGTGGCACAATTTTTGTTGTACTTTTGTCGAAGTTTTTAAATCTGTAATGCTTTCGTGAACGCCATCTATGGTAAATACTTCACGCCAATTTGACAATGGCGCCAAAGATTTTAGAATATCTGATAGATATTACCAATTAAATAACAGATAGAAGCTTTTCTTCACTAAGGAAATGAAGGAAACTTAGGCTAGGCATTACTGGAAAAGTTAGGCTAACTGAGTTCGAGTTGGGTTCAAATTAATCCTTGTTAAAATCACAAGCTTTTTAGGTGCCGATACTACAGATTTCTTCATCTACAAAATCCTGTGAGGTGATAAGTCTATTCATATACATGCGTCGTCTGTGGATAGGCTAATAAGTGAATAATCCTAAATTGTATTTACAATACCTATCAACATGTGTATGAGCGTGATAACCTGCAAACTGTTTATATTATCTTGATAGTAATGTGATAACAACAGTGTATTATTAGAAAGCTTAATTAGAGAATTTCGTGTCATTAAAATTATGGCGAAATCGGACATGATAAATGATTACGCCGAGAAACTTTCAAAGTTGGAAAGGGAGCAAAGTATAATTGATAGAGCACCCTTTCGTCATTTGAAAATTACTGATGCACAAATTTTAGATTCGATAGAAGGCAGAGAGATATGTGGTCGTTGTTATAAATCACGAAAGTTCTTTTGTTATTTGTGTTGTTTGCCAGTTATCAATGAAAAGTACTTTCCAAAAGTGAAGGTATTGCATTAAGTACATAAATACAATTGTTGCAAGTTATGAATGGATATAAACAATCGTTTGTTTCTAGTTGCCAATTAAGATTGATATTGTTAAACATGCCCGTGAAATTGATGGGAAAAGCACAGCGATTCATGCAGCTGTGCTTGCACCAAACGATGTGAGAATTTTTATATATCCTGATTTCCCTGAAATAGTAGATAAGGAAGAGGTATGCCTAGAAAAGTTTGTTTCAAATCACATCATCATCTTTTAAATTTTATAACTTGGTCTGAATAATGTCATCCCTTAGACTGTATTAATTTTTCCTAGCCAAACTGGCAAAACTATTGAGTCACTCTTTAAAAAGGAGATTAAACAAGGGGATACAGTCATCATAAATAGGATACAAAATGAATTTCCTATAAAAAGGGCTATATTCATTGACAGTACGTGGCATCAAACAAAAGCAATTTATAAAGACCACAGATTTAGAGGTAAATATAAAAAGAATTTAATATTATTACTCTGTACGTAACATAGTTTTCACATATTAAAACAGTCTAACTAAAAAATTCCTAACATAGTATGACATTAATACACAGATTTGCAGTGTGTCATATTAAAATCAAGAATATCACAATTTTGGCGACATCAAAAGAAGAGTCCCAGGTGGTATTTAGCTACAGTTGAAGCAATTCATCAGTTTTTAGTAGAATTACATACATGTGCATTTGGCATACTAGAAGGCTATGCTGAGTGGGATGATTCTACTATAAAAGCAATGAATGGAGAGTTACCTGACACAGATCAGAGATACAAAGGTCAATACGATGATCTTTTATATTTTTTTAAGTATATGTATGAAAAAATTCATACTATGTATGACCATGATAAGTTATGGGCTTATAAAAGGCCATTAATATAACTCTGTGATAAGGAATTGTTCTATGAACAAATGTAAATGTCTTATAGTTCTATTAATAAAAAAGTTAATGTTAAAATTATTCCAAACGCATTTACTTTTACTTCCACAAAGTTTACCTACAAGAATAAGAAATTATTAATTGTTTTCAAGTAATATTTTCAGAAATTAGATATTCATTTATAGATCAACGAGATAATTATCTAAAATATTCAGGCAGAGATACATAAATAACGTTTAAAAGTTTCAAAACATTTGAGTCACCTTTAATCAACAATTTTCTTTCAGAAACAAAAGTGTCCATAGACTATTTGTGTACATGCCCACGTAAATACGTAATAGCTTAGACATTTTTAATGCAAATTGTATTCAAATTTTAATCTCACTGTTTATACAATCGGCTTTCGTATATTAATAACTTCATTTACTTAAAATGTTGAATAAATATTACAATGCTCCTTTCTGCAGATGTCTTTAATAACATTTTCCCTCTTGTCAGTTTTTAACCACAATCGGCAAGATAGGGAATTGCATTACCATAAAACAGGATTGCACAAGCAGGCTTGCAAACTTGTAAACTTCAACGTAGCCTCCAGTATATTACGAAAACGATGGTTCTCGAACAGAGGTGGGTGACCTAATAGGTATTCCCAGCAAACGAAACACGAAATCATGTTATCTATTTCTGTGAAAATACCATTCGGACGAGTCTAACGTATGAATACGTAATTCGCAGAATATATAAACCCAACAATATTCGAGAAATAACCACGGCTTACGTCTAAATGGCACGTCATCCGGTAGCCAGCAAAATATTGCATTGTTTATTATGCTTGAAAATAAACAATCGAAACGGGGAGCGTGCACGGCGACGAGAAGGTCCCCAAACACAGGGGAGGCAGTACATTCACTCGCGAATAGCTGACACTGACGTCACACCGTCCTCGTCTCTTACGTTCCGCAACCCGCGGCGCCCGTCAGCCGTCTGCGATGAGTTTAGTTTTGAAAACAAGAGGCTGGTCGCCGCTCGTTGGCCGCGCTCGCGTCTGAACGAAAAGTTGAGGCCGAATTAAAGCCCGGTGACACGGAACGCTGTGCCGTAATCGTGTCTCGCGCGTGTCCCGTTTCTTCCGGTATTTTCTTCTTTCACGGAAAAAACGTGACGAAAAAAATGGACGCCCTTCGCGAGCAAGTGATGATCAATCAGTTCGTGCTGGCTGCAGGTTGTGCCAGAGAGCAGGCGAAACAGTTGCTGCAGGCAGCACACTGGCAATTCGAGGTAGGAGAACGTCTTTCCGCATCATTTACAGGCAAAACATTGGGAACTTCACCGTATTTATGTTCGTCGCGGCTCGATATACGGCTACGTAAACAAAGCAGCGAAAATGGCCGACCGACCAAGCGGTATTATTATTCGTTGACTCGAGTCAGAAATATGGTATTTGTGCTGGTTAAAACTATTATCATCAATTCAATTCGCCGGTACGATGTCCCGTAATCGACCGTCACGTATACGAAGCGTTAAGACTCGATCGATTCGTCACAATTACGATTCGTAACAACTCGCGAGTCAATGAGCGCATTTACTACCACACAGGATGAAGTCCATTCATAAAAATCATACGATGTTGCTAAGAGGTTTTGTTCGTTATTCGTTGCGTCGAGTGGGATCGCTAGTATCTCGTCAAGGTTATAGCATCGCGCGTGCTTTCAGATTAACACATTTACTACGGTTTCTATTTGTTTTCGTTTAAGCACTCGTGACTATACTTAGCAGCAATTTCGGTCCTGAACGCCGGTTTTATTCACTGAACGTTGTGTTGAAGCCACATAGTAGCCGCACGTAAAAATTCATTCCTTAACCCTAGAAAGATAACCTCGATGTGTACCGTCGAAAACGAAGAAAGTTGTTTTGTCTTTATTTTGTTTTGAAAGCGTTCTTTGAAAACAAGTTTTTTGAGAATGATGTTCTACTGATTTTTATCGTGGACACAGTTAACCGTCTACCTTGTCTTAATAAAAACGTTCTTATTACATTCCTGATTATTCTCGTTCGAGCGAAATAACAGTCTTCGTCTTCTATTTCATTACTGTCACTTAATCAGAAAAATACTATCCTTTTCATCACCATCAACCTCGCTGCTACTTTCTATTACATATCTATTTTTTCAGTGTTATTACTGTCAGTGTTACCGTCATCAGTTCCAAGCATATGTAATCATCATATATCCTGTCGCTTTTATTTTTTCTATAGTATCTTCAATAAACTCAAACGAAAATAAATAATGCTTCTGAAGTAAACTAGGCAGCTGAGACAACATGTTTTTAATATTTTTCAACCGTTAGGCTTTACTAGCTCCTCTCTAATCTTTCTAGGGATGATATACGCCCTCGATATCTATATTCATGTTCGATTTCTTCGAACATACCCTGCATAAAGCCGACCCGGCTGTTAACAATGAAATCAACGCTGACATCGCGTGTGGCAATCACGAACAATAATTATCTTTTCGGTACCGGGTTTCCAAGCCTATCGATTCTCCAGATATTGTGACCACTAAAAGCCTTCTTCGGTTTATGTAAATACGATCACGTTTAACTCGTCCACTTTACCCGCGCACACTTTCAACACGGATAACCTATACCCTTTACACGTAACGTGTCAGAAATTACTGCAATTATTTGCTCGATATAGAATTATCGGTGTTAATGTAATTATCCATCAACACTGTAAATGAAAACAAAGCGGAACTACCGCAGTTTGTGTACAGTTGTGCTCGATGTAAACAAGGCTCATTTAGATACAAACGAGCATTTACTAGAAATGTATGCAACGATAAAATGTAAAATTCCCTAAACCGGTTCAATTATTAAACGTGTATTTTCACGGATAGTAACATGTAGTGTTGGTCGTCGCTTAAATTGTCGAATATTACTGCTTGCTCTGTTCGTTCTATTGCTACATATAGGGTGTCTTTAAATTCATGATACAAAATTGATAGTAAAAAACGTTGATAAAGACAAGCTTGAGCGCTAGTTTTGTTGGTGTTAATCAATATTATAACTACAGTCTTTCAGTATGAATATATATGGTATGCAGAATTTCAGTTGCACTATATACTTTTATCGACACTCCAATTTGTTTATTTACTCTTTAATGTTTATTCTGCTAAAGTACGACCCGTTTTTTACCCATTCTGTTTCAATATGTCCGTGTTAGTGTCTTGAATATTTTTTATCGTTCAATCTTCGTTTCTGTACTCACGAATTAGGAACACCCGTTGGACACAAGAGGACTTTTAAATCCGTAATAGAATTATTCGTGTTTATTCGTGGTAAACTTTCATGGATTAATCCGACTCCGCGCTTTGAGCTTAACGACCCCTTGGGTAATGCCAGAACGTGATAAAATATAATAACGCACTCGTCCAACAATTTCTAACTGCTATCCGAAATCGGCGACGTTTACGTTTCCCATACTTTCACATGATATGTACAATGCGGTCAAGAACCTGCAGTGGCCTTTCAGCAATTAAGTATCTTATCCGTGGCCGAGTATTATCGAGCATTTCTTTCGCAAAAGCTTTCCATTTTCAATCGTCACGAATTTATAGATCGAGGTATGTATACTCAAAAATAAATCGTAGTACCCTCGCGAGCAAACTCGGCTTCCAGTAGGGAAAAAGTAGTATTGGGAAAGGGCCTCCTACCATTTGGTATCGGAAATTATTACAATTTATGCCAAATTAACATTCGATTTAACATTTATTTCAGTACTTGAAATAAATTTATTAAGTGGTAAAAGACTTTCCTTCTACGTCACTTTTTCCCCTAGCGGAAGCCGAGTTGCTCGCGGGTGTACATGTTCTTATTGTGCTAACCGGTACAGTAACTCTAGGGAGTTTTTCTTTACCATGGGATTATACAGGCGGACATACAACCTATCAGTTATCTACGCAAATAAAAATGAGGTACTGTTTATTTTTTTTTAGGTTTTTAAATTTTTTTCGAAAATTCAAATTTGTTTTATTTCTTCCGATACGTAAAAATAAATCGAAGAACTTCTACGAAATCGGTCATGTGTGCAAAGAAGTGTGTACATAGATCAAAAACTAGGTATATTATTTCCAAAGTTTCGAACGAGAGAGTAAAGGGTGCACAAAAAAAAACAACAAACGTGTTGATTATTTTTTACTTTAAAAAAAAATACGTGAAATAGGAATGTTGTTGCATACTTGGTTTATAAATAATTTTATCCCACGAATGTTTCTTTCGTAGTTTTACTGAAATATAGTTCCGTACGTTTCATGTTTCATCTACCTTGCTCACACAACACAGATTGCATAACTAGTCTCTACAATGTGAAATTAAACGCAACTATGTACTTACCAGCGGTTATTAATGCATTCAACGCTTCTTATACGGGCATCGATTAAGCTCTTAAGTGCTCCGTGTAATATATCGCATATATTTCTACTGCATGTTTTTCGGGTTGACTGTCGGGGAACGGGTTAAGTCATAATTAATTTCTAGATGATAGGTTGCGAGATTAGATTGGTCATTCCCGAGCTGTGTTCACCAACGATTGCTACACACAAGGTTGGACACGACGTTAAAATGTAATCGTGGCTGCACTTCTAATATGAAGTTCCATAAGAACACACCGACGAGACATCTTGCCAACATTGATGACGCACTGGTTGTTATTATCGTTGCAGCATCGTATACGCGTCAAAATAACTTTCGTATCACGCCATGAACGAGGAAACATGTTTCTCTCTTTTGTCATTAATCGGAACCGTTGTATGGTTCACGAAAATATTTCATGAGATTTGTGTTATTTCCACAACATTCGTTCATCTTTTCGAAAACGGACCGTCAATGTCGACGGCAAGGTCATTCGTGACCCCTAAAAAGATCTCACAAACAAACACGTACCCACGCGAGCAAACTCAGCTTCCGCTAGGGGAAAAAGTTAGGCAGGCGAAGGACCTTCCTTCATTTAATTTTGGGAGTTACTGAAATTTATTCCAAATTAACGAATTCGGTTTAACATTTATTTCAGTACTTGAAATAAATTTACTAACAAGGGAAGGCACGGAAGTGTCCCCCTCCGATTTTGATAAAACTTCGTATGTCTGTTAAGCAGTCAAAAATAAGGGATACATATTTTTTTTATCGGTTGAGACGCGACTTTAAGGGGTGAAATCACCCCTCGAAGTTTCGATTACGCTTCTATGGGACCTTATGAGTCAGGATTAACCCAGCCACCGATTTTAATTGTTCCTATTATAAGAGTTATTGTTTCCCAGTTTTTCTCTTCAAAAATTAAATTACTAACCCTTAACTAGAGACTACTAGTCTCGGGGACGAGTTTGAATTTTTCTGTCACTATCGCAACCTGGTGGACAATTTTGTAAGCTCTAAGCATTTCAGTACCTTCAATTCAAAGTAAATGGCGCGCTAATTCTACAGTGGTAATGAAAAATAACGTTCAGTCGTTGAAAGTGTCGCGAGGTGTAGTTGTAGTCGGGTTATTATCCATTTCTAAAACGAGTCGTCTGCAGCTAATGGTTAAGACGATTAATTAAAATACTGTAGGGATATCTGAAAGGAAGTCAGTTTTTATTTTCACCGATGCAAACAAACATTCTAGTCTTCTGATGAAAAAAAAATTTCCTACGTCGACGGGAACACAGAACCAGGCGCGATAACAGTGCCACGTTATCTCGAGAGAGAACACCGAGAAATAAGGGAAGAGGAGAGAATTCAGCGCGTTCGTAGAGTTTTCAGTCTGAAAACTTTCTCCGGCCGGCTGCTAATGCGTTTAACAACAGATTACGACATGGGTTCTAATGACTACTGGCAACTCTGTTACGTTACCTTTCCAGTTACTCTTTCTCTCTCTGTTTCTCGCCTCCTCCCTTTCCATCGCTGTTTCTCTCCTCTCATACATCAGCATCAATACACAATACACGAGGTATTTTCGCGATTAGTAGTGATGGGTTCGAGCTTATCGCGAGTATCGTAATAGTACGAGTACTTCGAAAAATGTGTAATATAATTTCGTAGGTATTTCTGTTTTACTTAGTGGATAAATAAATTGAAGACTTACTTTTCCGTATACACAGAAAGAAAATAATAAAAATCACAACTTGAATTCACGAAAATGTGTATTATAATTTCGTAAGTGTTTCTGTTTTTCTAGTAGATAAATAAACAAAGATTTACTTTTCCGTAGATAAATAAATTAATTAATAAAAATTACAACTTTGATTT